CTCCCCCCCCCCTAAAAAAACCACCCCAAAAAACCCACCTGTTGTAAGGAAACCAGATGCAGCCATGAACGATTACAGGCTGGCAAGGGCGCCATTTACTTTGAGAGGGTGATAAGCCCGTTAGAAATGTGACATTCCACTGGTTAGATAGAAGTGATGTATTGTATTTAGAAGGAGAATCGGATCGGGGAGACGTGGGAATATTCAGGATGCATCATCATGTACAATTTTCTTTTCGTTCTTTCTTTCTTTGAGTGAAGAAAGAGAAGCACTGCGACACAAGAATGGTCATTTATTAGTGCTGGGAAAAATTAAGACAGACTGACAGACTGAAACAACAGAGGGAAAGTAAAGAAATAGGACCTGCTACCAGTCAGTGGCCCCCTCCAACCACCCACGTACATTTTCCCTTAGACCTGGTGAACACATGACAGATCTAGATCTACTTTTGGTTATCTTTGCACCCTTTTGATTATATGGGAATGCAAATATCAAATATGATTTAAAGAGGAAAATTTAAAAAAAAATAATTTAAAAAGCAGTTATTATGATTAAATCTAGATCTAGATTACCTTGCCTAGCTAAGATGTTATTGCGCAGAATGTAGATCTAGATCTAGAGACGGGGAAAAAACTCTTTACTAAAACATGACATGATGATAGATTTGTTGCATTAAAACCTTTTGGCATTTACGCGACCAAAATTGAGTCTATAGTCCTGTAAAACATGTCCTACTCAATCAATCAATCAAAAGGAGAGACGGACAAAGTCGGCTAGCGCAAGTCCCTTCCTCGCCCGCTATTGTTCTACTACAGCTTGTATCATGTGTGAGGAGAGTGGGGACTCTGCTCCACCAGCGAGGGACGACTCGCTCACTACTCACTCACCACAGACCCCTGACCTCTGAGTTTCTCTTCCTTACGAAACGAAACATGACCACGATATTGTGATAAATCTCCGATTGTCTTGACCAGCAAGCTAATGGAATAGGTTGTGTCCCGTGACGGCCAAGAACAACTTCTATTGCTAATATGTTATCCCCCCCC